TCCTGCATTCCTAATCCCGTGCCCCCTGTGTGGAGGGGTGAGTGCAGGACCGCACAGTCCCACTGTGGGGCAAACAACTAAAGCTGCCCAAACAGCCATGCATGACTACGTGCACAGGAACATTAAGATAATCCCACTCTGGCTCCTGAAACATCCCTCCTACTGCAGACCACCTCAGTGTATCAGCTAATCCCCAGGGAAGCAACACCAACAGACACTGAGGGCTTCTCATGCCCTCTCATACCATCCCCTCCTCTTACAGGACAAGGAGGAAGAGGTGACACTGCAAGCAAGGAAGTGAGTTTTGTTCAATGCTACAGTGTGCAGCAAGTAGTAACTTCTTAAACAGTTAAGTCCAGCTCTGTAGGTCAAGCTTAAGCACATCCCTGATTGCACTGCACTGCAAGGCTTTCATATGGGTTCCTGCCTTTGCAGCACAGCACCCTGCTGCCATTCCATGCCCCTGGGAAACCAGCCCCCATCAACCAACTCAAGCTGTTGGACCCTTAAGACATCCCAGGAATCACTGTGCCTCCCACAGGCAGCAACAGATTCTCTCCAGACTCTAGTAGCATGAGTGCTGGGCTCAGGAAACTCCAGAAACCCAGTGCTCAGGCTCAGAGTTGGGACAGGGTTTAGATTTTCTCACTCACACTCTTGGGGCACTTACCTGACATTTCCCCCAGCTTTCTGTATCCGCATACGCTCCTCATACTGGGTGGGGTTGTGCTCTTTACTGAGACTTAAGGCTGCATGTTTCTGACTCTCTTCATTATAACGACACAGAATCGCCTGTGCTGACAAAAGACCCTCGTCAGTAAACAACGAAACCACAGCAAGACCTTCTTGAGAGAGCTGCAAGTTGTAGTGAACAGGACTACGTCTGGCTGGTGAGCTCAGTCCTGCTGCCAGTTTTTATCAGTGATTTGGGAGTTGACCAGAAGTTAAAAAGGGAGTTGACCAAAAGTTGACCATCCTCATGGATGCAGGAGCTCAATGCACCACTGGCAAGTTGGCTCATGATACTAAGCTGGGAGTGTGGTTGACTCTCTGGAGGGACAAGAGGCCTTGCAGAGGGATGTAGATAGATCTGAGCATTGGGCAATCATCAATGGAACAAGTCCAAGTGCTGGATTCTGCATGTGGGATGGAGTAACGCCAGGCACGGGTGTAAATTGGGAGAGGAACAGCTGGAAAGCAGCCCTGCAGAAAAGGACCTGGGGTGCTGGTGGGCAGCAGGCTCAGCAGGAGCCAGCAGTGTGTCCTGGCAGAGGGCAAACCCCATCCTGGGGGCATCAAACACAGAATGACCAGCTGGTCAGGAGAGGGGATCATCCTGCTGTGTTCAGTGTTGGTGTGGCCTCACCTTGAGTGCTTTGTGCAGTGCTGGGCTCCACCACATGAGAAGGATGTGAAGGTCCCCAAATGCCTCCATAGGAGGGCAACAAAGCTGGTGATGAGCCTGGAAGGACTGTCCTCTAAGGAGCAGCTGAGGACTCAGGGTTTGTCTAGTTTGGAGAAACATGGGTTGAGGGGAGACCTCATTGCTCTCTGCAGATTTCTGAGGATGGTATGTGGAGAAGGAGGTGCTGATCTCCCTGAGATCCAGTCATAGGACAGGTGGGAATGGTTCAAAGCTGCACCAGAGGAGGTTCAGACTGGACATTAGGAAGCATTTCTTTACTGAGGGTGGTCAGACACCGAAACAGGCTTCCTGGAGAGGTGGCCAATGCCTCAAGCCTGTCAGTGTTTAAGAGGCATTTGGACAATGCCCTTAATAACATGTTTTAACTTTTGGTCAGCCCTGAATTGGTCAGGCAGTTGGACTAGATGATCGTGGTAGGTCCCTTCCAACTAAAATACTCAATTCTATCCCAGCCACTGTGAGATATTTAGCGCCACCAAGAGAGAGCCACCACACACAGATGTTTTACACTATGGGAGACAACACGGAAGTACCCTGCACCCACCGAAAACATGATTTGTAGGAAGAGTTGGGGAGCTCACAGCAACTGGGACATCCCACACAAACACCTCGCCCTTCAGGGCAAATAAAGCTCTCAGGGGAATTGAGATGCCAGCAGTGGGCTTCTGCCTTCTGCTTACCCGGCTGTCCCCAAGGTTGGCTATGTAGAGAATATTGTCAACAGCTAGGACACAAGTAGCTGTGGAGCCATCTTTCCATGCTGGCTTCCTGAAGGGAACAAAAATGAGATTAATAAGGGGAGAAAACCATGTTTAAAGTCACAGAGTGCTCCTGGGAACACAACTAAGTGTCATGTGCCAACACGCAGCAGCCAGCTAGCTGCTTTACCACAAACTTAGTGGTAAACAGTGAGCTGGGGAAGAGACAGAGGAGCTGCACAGAGTACTGCCTACTAAATGCATGGCCAACGCCCAGCTGGTTTAAATACTGCCAGCCATGCACAACCTTTCCTTACACTCAACTCCCAGGAAACCTCATCTGTGGCTGTAACAAGCTCTGCCCTGATGGCTGCCCAGAAGCTATAGCATCATGAGTAAACAAGCATCCCACACTCCTCCTCAGGAGGCTCCTTCTATGCAGCAAAAGGCAGGGACAGCCAGGACTGCAGCAGAGCTACCTTCCTTTCTGCTTTCATTTCCCTTCCTTTTTTCACACTACCCCTGCCTGCCTCAGCCCTCATCAGCCGACCTCAGCAGCAACACCACTCGTTCAGCCACTCTCCTGATATTTCACTTGCTGTAGTTAAGCTTGTGTCTCTAGAGCTCAAGGTAATACAAGAAGCATTTCCTAGGTTACAGCTGTCAGACTAGTCCTCCCCACAAAGAAGCCCAGCTTTTCTTTACTGAAACTAGCTTTGAGAGACTCTAGACATATTTCACCCAGTTTTTCCTAACTTTGAAGGTGCAGCTGAATGAAGATCATTCATTTCATCATCAATACAGCTATCGCTAGCGATCCTTTGTAGCACCCTTGTCATAAGTCACATTTCTAACGAAAGAGAATGACACTGTTGTGACAGACTGAAAGGAGAGTTTTCTTTTTGCCTGCTCAAGCTTACTGATCTGATTAAGCTTAAGAGACTGAGCCAGTTTGCAATTTACATAAAATTGAAAGTTGGCAGGGAATCTTAGAATCAGATACATCAAGTCTCTCCATCTGTGTTAGAGGTGTCACTATGAAATAAAAAAAACCAAACCAACAACTAAGCCACACCAAGCAAATGTGTAAAGGACTGGTAACAAAGTGACTGTATTTTAAAATGCAATCTATATCTTCCTAGTCTACACAGTGCGTGTGTCAGTTCAGCAGACTGAGAGAAGAGACTGCACTCAAAACCCAGCTGAGAGGCAGGTTGGCACTGACCCCACAGAAAGTAGCTGCTGTGCTTTTCAGCTTCATTTTAAAAGAATCTGTCAGAAACACACTTAAGATAAGGGACATTTTTCATCAACAACTCTTTCCAAAAGAGGTGAAGAAAGTAAGACTGAAACTTACACTGGAAGAGTTAAGTCTTTCAACAAGGGGCCTTAAAAACAACCTCAGAGATGTGCTCCAGCCTGGCAAGCACACACTAACAGGAACGCAGCTCTCAAGAAAGCTGCACACAGCAGCCTGTGAAGTACTGCCCTACAGATACCGTCCTGTCACACTCTGATGCCATCAACACAGAGATCCCATCTCAGGCAGTGTGAGATAAGGCAACTCCCTGAAAGGAGGGTGTAGAGAGGTGGGGGTGGGTCTGTTCAACCAAGGAACAAGTGACAGGACAAGAGGACATGGCCTCAAGTTGTGCCAAGGGCAGTTGAGATTGGATGTGAGGAAGAATTTCTTTGCAGAAAGGGTTCTGAGGCATTGGAAGGGGTTGCCCAGGACAGTGGTGCAGGCCCCATCCCTGGAGGGATTGAAGAGTCGTGTAGACATAGTGCTGAGGGACAGGGGTCAGTCAGGGACTTGTCGGTGTTGGGTTAATGATTGAACTCGATGATCTTAAAGGGCTTTCCCAATTGAGGCAATTCTGTGACTCTGTCTTAAAAAAGAAGGCAAACAAGATATGCTGGTAAGGACAGAGGTGCATTCTTGGTCATGTTTTGGTGCCTTCCTTTACCACGAAGGCGTATTTTAGTATAAGGGGTCCTACAGACTCCTCAGCACAGAGTAAGGCCAGAACATGCTGTGATCTAGCTCTAGCCAGGCACTCAGCTGGCAAAGTTACAGCCTGGCACAGCTGTGCCAAAGCACAGACATGACTCCAGGTTTCCTCTGCCCGGCTCAGAACTAAGCCCTGTGAGATGCAAACTAAGAAATACAAATGCATGGAAAGCATTCACACTTACTGGCTGGATGCCTGCTTCAGAAACTCTTCATCTGTGTGTTTGAAGGTGTCCAAAAGGCATCTCTTCACTGTTTTCTCCACGCTGACTACATCACCTGTCAGACAGGGAAAAAGCTCTAGCTAAAACATCTCTCATAAGGGAGCTGGGTCTCTTTAGTTTGGAGAAGAGGAGACTGAGGGGTGGCCTCATTAATGTTTATACATATGTAAAGTGCAAATGTCAGGAGGATGGGGCCAGGCTCTTCTCAGTGATGTCCAACAGTAGGACAAGGGGCAACAGGTGCAAGCTGGAGCATAGGAGGTTCCATGTAACATAAAGAAAACCTTTTTCACTGTGAGAGTGACAAGACATTGGAACAGGCTGCCCAGAGAGGTTGTGGAGTCTCCTTCTCTGGAGACATTCAAAACCCACCTGGACACGTTCCTGTGTGACCTACTGTAGGTGATCCTGCTCTGGCAGGGGGTTTGGACTAGATGATCTTTTGAGGTCCCTTCCAACCCCCACCATTCTGTGATATCTGACCTATCCCAGTCCCTCCCTTTGCTCATCCCACATTCAGTTAGGCAGTCCATCACTCAGACCCTGTGCAGAGCAGCTAGGGCACATCCTGGGCTCAGGCTACCAAAAATCTGTGCAGGAGCATGTATGGAGAATTTCTGGCATTCCCCTCTCCCCCATGGGCCTGTTTTCACCCTTGAAGTGGTACTGCCAAAACTGGCAAGAGCACATTTCACACTTGCTTAATGGTTCACAACTGGCCACTGGTACCATTGTGCCAAAAAAGCTTCCAGCTCTCTTCTCCAAGAGACAGCGCAGTCTCACAAGCCCACTGGGAATAAGGGATGGGAACTGTAGAACTATATGAAATATACAGTTTCCCTATCCACTGCCATAACGTCAAGGCAGAAAAGGTGATGGTTGTCCTACAGCCCTTATTTCCACTCCTCTCACCTTTAGGAAATTTCTTAATCAGGTTTTGGTGCAGGTTCTGTGCTGCAAATTTTGAGGCTCGGACTCCCCCATGGCCATCAAAAACAGCGAAGTACGAAACACGTGTGCTGTGAGGGAACAAAGAGTAGTAGAAAGGTGCCAAGTAAGGCCATTAGCCAGAGGATGGGATCGAGTATATTTATCTCTGTAAGCCTGGCCCATGTCGGCCTGATTGAATAAATACTGCACTCCAAGGCACAAAGGTAGCAAGTCTCTAAGCTCACACATTCAAGCATTTACACGGTTTACATGTGCAAGCACTGAGCTGAGAACTTACTTGTAACTCTTCACCCCTCAAGAAAATGAAGGGCAGAAGAGTTTATAGACCACAACTTGGCATTAAAGCAGCTAAACATTTCACCTGAAGGGCACAACTCCCCAGTGCGACACAAGACATCAGTCTAACCAATCCTACAGTTCTTTCTATGCCTACACTTGTTGAAACTGTGCTACAGGCAAGAAACTCTGACCCCTCAGCACGTGAAGCTCTCATGACAGCACTAGTTCAGAAGCTAAATTCAGTATCAGAATGATCCTTGAGAGCATTCCACACACACTGCCCCTACACACACTTACATGTGTTAATTGGCTAAGTTATTTAAATTTTTTAAATGAGAGAGTTCCAACATCCATTCTCTCTTCTTCAAGCCTTCTCCATTGCCACAGTTAAGGTTTTACACAAAATAAAATCCCCAGGGCAAGGTCTGATTACTTAAAATTAAACTGAGGGTCTCTAAACATCCATGCTTACATTTGGGTAACAGGCTCAATATCCAGAGTTCTTGGGCCCCCACAATCCTTGTGAGATCAGTGACCAAATGCACTGAGCATCACTCAAAGAGAGGTATTTGTATATAAAATAGTCCTGTGATTTGTCCAGGAACACAGGTAATGTGTTCAACGCAGATCTCCCAATAACGAGCCCAAACCACATACCACAACACAGGCATAGGCAAGAGCATCAGCTGCTCAAACCAGAAAGAATCATATCACTGGCTTGGCTGAAGCTTGGCTGGAGCTTCTTCACCCCTCTGACAGCCGCCATACACAGCTTTATTCCAGCAGTTGAGCCCACTTACATTTGGGAGGGCAGAGGCTGGCACTCCTCAGTGATATCGTTTAAGATGACATGTGCATCCTGCATGTCTTCTCTTTCACCTTTCCTCTCTGCCACGTAACCCTTCAATCCAAGAATGCTCGCTGACCCTAAAGGGGAAGAAATCAGACATACACACAAATTAAACTCCTCCATCTCCCGAGCTCAGGCTAAAAAGCAGTGAGTCAGCGACAACTTTTCAACTTTCAGAACCCTACTCTGGCACTGCAGCAAAGAACAGCCCTCACCCTGCAACACCACAGCTAGCATCTGCTGAACAGGATATACTGATTTTGTAACATGGGTTAAGTGCCCCACTTTAAGGTCAGTAGCTATAGAAGCTGCTTGCCCCCATTTTGGCAGGCCCAGGACGGCTGGGCATTGGACAGGGCTCTTACTAAAAAGGGCTGGGGAGGGGGGTGAGTGGGAAAGGGAAGTGTGTGGCACTGAAGCTGCAGATTAAACAAAGCACAGCTTTAAAGAGAGTGCCAAGGACAGGAAATCAGGGTTTACTGTTTCCAGAACACGTCCTTTCCTTTGTACCCTTGAACACACCTTATTCCTAAAGCTGCAACGTAACATGTGGACACCTCCTCCAAGTCAAGTGTCCTATATGTATCACCAAGTTTCTCTCTCTGGCTTTCTTAGCAGCCACTCAGTGGACAGATTCGTGAATGTGGCAGAAGAAACTGGTGTGGCTCTGGCCTTCCAGAGGTTTCACAACCAATTCCCCTCTTGGCAGCTTATCCTGCAAACACTGAGGTGCTTGGTGCTCAGCTTCTGCCACTTCAGCAGGGCTGGTAAGAAGGTCTGGGTGAGGGAGGCAGAGTGCCAGGGAGCTCCAGAGACTTCCACAGACTGACCCAGCAGATTGTTCCCTACAAAAGGCTGAAAATGTGAGCGGACTGAAGAACCAAAGCTTAGCTTTGGTCTGGACTTACTCAGCCCAACATCAAAAGTACAAATCAAGTACATTTGTTTTCAAACTGCCTGAAAACCTTTACAAACTTTCTTTTCCACAAGTTCTTCCCTGCCATTCTTCTCTTCCTCCTCCAAGGACTTTCTTTTCTCCCCTTTCCCATGGCTCCCTGCTGATGAGACCTGCTCAGTAGCACTGGAGGCTGAAAGAAAGCAGAAACACAGACAGCTGAAGTCTTCCAGCTTTCTTTTACATGCATAAATTCAATAGCAAGTCCTTTTATACGCGGGCTCCCACACTCACACAGCATTAAGTGACCAGAATTATTACTGAAGCATATACACTAACTGACCACAAGTGCGCGCACACACACACACACACACACACAACTTCACTCGGCACGTACAGCCTGTGGCACGCATCACTGTCTAACCCAGCAAGTGCAAATTTGAGCCCTGTACGTTGTGTGACCCTACCTCAGGCACAGTACAGCTGTGTTTGGCTGGCAGGCTGCTGATTCTCCCCACCAACCCACAATTTGTTTCTTACCTCCCAGCCTGTCTTCCAGTTAACTGCTCAGGAATGTAACATTTCAGTTTGGAACATTTCTAATTTTCCTTATTATTATTATTATTATTATTATTTATGTCTACAAATCACGCCCACAACAATGCAAAAAAAAGTGCATTTTATTACTCTGAAAGTGCATATTTGTTAGAGGTTTCAGAAGACAGGTTGCAAATTAATACTAGCAAGCAAAATACGGTTCCCATGACATCAGAACCCTCACCTTTTCCTTCTGGAGATTTATGGTATAGTGAATTATCTCACCTCCTCCCAGGTGTTAGCAAACACCTGTTTGCATGCAGAAAGCCTTGCCAGATGAACAGTCTTGTTTTGAAGACATTTACAGCTAGGAACAAGAAGGCAGTCTGTGCCCACAGCAAAAAAGCAACAGAAGCTAGGGTAGTTGCAGCACCGGGCCAGCGCTGCCTTTGCTTTTAGCAAGCACACATGTACTTTCACTTCCAAAGCAGGCACATACAAGGGGTGTCCCCAGAAGACATCCCAAAAGAGGGATACACATCTGGGAACAGACCTAAATTTACTTTCAAAGAGTAAATTTCAATGTGCCCAATTTAAACAATCAGTGTACAAATGGATCACCACAACCAGTGACAGCCAACCAAGCCACCAGGTTAACTTGCCACGAGTCCAACACAACCAGTTCCCACAGCATTTTGCTTGAGAAACTGTCTGCCAATGGCCTGGACAGGTATACTCTCTGCTGGGTTAAAAACTGGATGGATGGCTGTGCTCAGAGTGGTGGGGAATGGTTTTAAATCCAGCTGGAGGCCAGTCACAAGTGGTGTTCCCCAGGGCTCAGTACTGGGGCCAGTCCTGTTTAACATCTTTATCCGTGATCTGGACAAAGCGATCAAGTGCACCCTCAGTAAATTCACAGATGACACTAAGCTGGGTGGAAGCGTTGATTTGCTTGAGGGTAGGAAGGATCTACTGAGGGACCTGCCAGCTGAATATGAGTCAGCAGTGTGCCCAGGCAACCAAGAAGGCCAACGGCATCCTGGTCTGGATCAGGAATGGTGTGGCCAGTAGGACCAGGGAAGTTCCCTCTCCCCTGTACTGGGCACTGGTGAGGCTGCACCATGAATACTGTCCAGTTTTGGGCCACTCCTTACAAGAAGGACATGGAGGTGCTGGAGTGTGTCCAGAGAAGGGCAACGGAGCTGGGGAAGGGTCTGGAGCACAAGTGTGATGAGGAGCAGCTGAGGGAACCGTGGTTGTTGAACCTGGACAAAAGCAGGCTAAGGGGAGACCTTATCACTGTCTACAACTCCCTGAAAGGAGGTTGTAGCGAGGTGGGTGTGTGTCTTTTCTCCCAGGTAACTAGTGAAAGAACAAGAAGTAACAGCCTCAAGTTGTGCCAGCAGAGCTTCAGACTGGAAGTCAGGAAAAATTTCTTAACTGAAAGGGTTCTCAGCACTGGAACGGGCTGCCCAGGGAGGTGATTGAGTCCCCATCCCTGGAGGCATTTAAAAGATGGGTAGATGAGGTGCTCAGAGATATGGTTTAGTAGTAGACTGGTATGGTTGGACTCAATTATCTCAAAGGTCTTTTCCAACCAAGCAATTCTATGATTCTATGGCTACATCAATGGGTTTTCCTGAGAAGGCCAGGGCAGCAGAGGCTTGGTAAGCTGACTCTGCTCCTTACCTGTGTCACTGCTGCCAGCTGGCGGAAGATCATCAAAGAGCAAAGAGCCTCCTTTTCCTGAAGCACAAGAAAAAAGCAAGAAATAAATACCCTGGTCCCTTTGAGGGAATAATGCCCCGTGTACACCCCTCCTGAGGTACAGAAATTATAAAATGCCAGCTTACCAAAGCAAGCCAAATTTTAACATCTGTTACTGGATGGTGGGGGCAAAGTCAGGCCTTACATTTGTTTCAGGGAATATTTATATGGAACATATAATGAAAATATATGTGAAACATATATAACATTCTAGTTATGCAAGAAGAACCACAAGAAGAGGAAAGCACCTGTTCTGCACACTGGTGCAGATAACCTGACTGTCTTTATCCTGTCTAACAAAGAAAAGGGTTTACACAAGTTTAACCTCAAGAGACACTGATGCAGAAAACAAAGGAAGTCAAACTAACGGCAGGAATGGAGTACCCATACCTGAGTCAGCACTGCTGGCTGGTGGGAGATCGTCAAAGAGCAGAGACCCTTTCTGGGCTTCCTTCCCTGTAAAGACACCAGGGCAGAGTCAGGACCTGCGGCAGGCATTCAGGGGGTTGGTTTCTGGAAGGACTGCCCCCCAGGCGAGCACAGGTGGGGTAGCCAAGGACAGCCTTGGCTACCTTTCTTCCATCTCTAATTTTGGCAGCTTCTACACAAGCAAAACCACCACCTGCCTGGGAATGATGTGAACTTTTATAAACTTTTTTTTTTTTTTTTTGGCTAAGAAGCCACTCAACTTGCATTAACATCCCTCAGCAGCCCGATCAACATGTTACATGCTAGAAGAGGCCCAAAAAGCACCAAGTGATTTCAGCGAACACCACTACAGCTCTGCACAGAGCCACCACCCGCTCCAGCAGCGGGGAGGGGAAATGCTCCAGCACGGCCTAAGCCGCACAGATAACAACGCTCTGCAGCTGAATGAGCCCCGGGGGAAAGAAAACGGCAAAAAACCCCAAACCAAACAAACACGAAAACAAACCGCCGAACTCTGGGATTTCTCCG